CACACACACACACACACACACACACACACACACACACACACACACACCATTACTACTACCATGAAATACAAACATAATCTGTTCACCCTCTCTCTAAAGTATCTTTCATACATATAGCCCAATCACACAATTTTTCTCTTCATAATACAGTGATTAGAGTGCATGTGGATTAGTCCCTGCCCTGTAAAGTCAGAGCACATCACATGTATTTCTGTCTTTCATTACATGTTTTATTCTAAAATGTCTCATTAATTTTCCTGACACATGAAATTCCATCCAATATGCTATTAATTCACTGTTTATTTTTAAATATGGTGTTTTCTTGGGCAATATTATTACTTGCTGACTCTATTTTTACTATTTATCCATCAAATATTTTACCTATAACTTTCTATCTTTTCAGGATTGCAGTCAAATAATCATATTAACAGGGTAGTAAGTCATCCTACACTTCCTGTAACAATTACAGCTCATGAAGATAGACACATCAAGTTTTTTGACAATAAAACGGGTAAGGATACTGAATAATGTTTAAAATAAATCTGGGTGGATATGGGAGGGTAATACCACACACAACTTGTTGCAGAATCATAGCATAAATTTGTTGTTCCACTGTTACATGTTAGTATAAAAGAAACATTCCCCTTACAGTAGGAAAATATATAACTTTTCCAATATTATCTTCATAACCTTCATCAGATAATCCTGCCTATACTTACTTTGATATAAGTGAAACATCACATTTTGCATTTTAGTCATATCTTGTTGTAAATCCATAACTGACTGAAAATCTGAGGCCTTGTTAAAGGATTAGTTCTCAATTGAAATGTGTGTGGGGATGGGGGGAAATGAGCAAAATATCTTGATAATCATCCATAAGGCTAAGATTCAGTCATGGGTATTTATAGTATAAGTCATGGACAGGTCACAGGCTGTAAATTTTTTTTGTTTATTGCCTGTCCATGACTTATACTATAAATACCCCTGACTAGATAATAGGTGCTCTAAGGGGGCCCCAGGGCACTGCTGCTGCTCGGGTGTTGGAGGTTGGGGAAGGCTCTGGGGTGGAGCTTGGCCCAGGGCGCCACACCTGCTCGGGGGTGGAGGGCAGCCCGGGGTCTTTTTTTTTTTTTTTTTTTTGGTTCATACACAAGCCAGTTAACTTCCAGATTAGCCACTCCTGTGTCCTGGTCAGTCCCCTTATATTTCTCTCTTGGGGCTTCTGACCTTGCTTCAGCTTGCAGCAGAGCCAGGCAGCTCTCCTTGCAGATAGGCCTGAACAACATGACCCAAGATTCCCATGGGCTTGTCAGCAATTCTGTAACTGTGTGAAGGAACAGTTAGGCTCTCTGTTATTTACGACGGACCTATCATTTTAGCCAGTGACTGCCTGTACTAAGTCATCAGGGGAAGGCTGTTTTTTCTTTGTTGGCTTTTGGGGGGGTATGATGAATTCCCTTTCTGTACTAGCTTCCCAGTTAGTGCTCTACTTCCTTTCACTGAATCTTGGCAGCTGCTTCTAAAAGCCAGTCTGTCTTGGCCAAAAATTTCCCTTGTTAAATATTATCACAAATCCAGATTTCAATAAAGTAACTTCTCCTTTCATAAACCAGTAGATATCAGCCTAGATCTACCCAAACTCTTTCCAAGTATGGCTGAAATGCAGTAAAGAGCCCAGGATTGCGTTAGGAAGCTACATCTGAGGTAGTGAGAGAATATTTTCCCTTTGGCCCTGATGGGCTTTGATTACCATGGATAATAGGTCCTCTCCATCATTGCTAAGTACTACCTTATCGAGTGTCTCCCCATTCCCCTTGCCTTATTCTTTCCCATACCCTGCCTCTCCCCAAAAATTAAACATGTCATCTGTTTCTCTCCTGTCATCTGTTTCTCTCCTGTTAAAGATCAAGGTCATTACCTACAGACCTGTTGGAACAAGAAGTAATTTATTGTGGCCAAGGAGTTGTGATTGGGGCTGCTAGAGGCCCATTTTAGACTTAAAATGGCTTATCTGTTTTACAAGCTGTAAGCTCTAGAAAAGGAGATGAGATGAGAGAATGGATAGAAAAATGTAGACACAGCAACTGTGCTAGGGTATGTCACAAGATGTTCCTATACTGCAACAAAAAGATTGAGAATCGCTGTCTTCCCCACATGCTCAGCGTCTAACTGTTCACCATGTTTGGGGTCAGGAAGGAGTTGTTCCCCGGGTCAGATTGGTAGAGATTGTGTGGGGGTTTTTTGCCTTTATCTGCAGCTTGGGGCATGGGTCACTTACTTGTTTGAACTAGAATAAATGGTAGATACTCTAACTTGAAATCTTCTAATCAAGATTTGAGAACTTCAGTAACGCAGCCAGAGGTTACAGGCCTATTGCAGGAATGGGTGGGTGAAGTTCTGTGGCCTCCGATGTGCAGGAGGTCAGACTACTAGGTGATTATGATGGTCTCTTCTGGCCTTAGTCTAATGAGTCTGAGGTTATTAGAGTACTAGCTTTCTGTTCTTTAGAGCATCTGTCTGCTCTTCCACATTGTACACCGCATATTTACAATACTTAATGTATATGTAAGGATGTGTTTATTTGGGTTTAAATAAACATATTCTAAATGGCTATACCAAATTTTGATATCTTTGCCATCATTTTAAAACCAGAAGAGTGGTGCATTGCCTTCTTCTTGTTCCCATTTCCCATACATGTGTATATATAACCACCAAAAAAAAAAATTATAAACCAAATCAAAACATTCCCAAAAGAAAACCAGCCCCTTATGCCTTCCTAATTCCCAGGGCTGATTCCCCAGAGCCTGCCTTCAATTGGAAGCTTGAAACCTAGAATAATGCCCCTCTGTTTTCCTTGTGTTTTTACTAGAATGTTCTCATTTGTGAAAAATTTGAACCACCTCTAATTACATCTTGTGCATTTGTTTTGCGGCAGTTGCAGTTACAACAAAAGTTATTTAATTCTAGCACACATGCATATATACAAGTCATGGTCATGAAAGGTCATGGTGATGACATTGAAACTGAAATTCTTCAATATTCCTCATCCTGCCCTTCAATGGGCCTCAGTGATGACTTGTGGACATTGGGGCAATACACGTGTAACAGTGTAGTCATCACCATGTCCACTTAGTCTTTGGTGGTCTTGTTATGATTGCCAACGAAGGTGCTAAGCATTTTAGAGACATGGTGTCCCTACTGTGAATACGCCTATCTGAAAGTCACTCAGGACCATCACCATGCTATATATAGGCTATGAAGCATCTTTCACGTAGTTGTTAAAAATTAACAACAAATAGTTAGAGTTTAAAGTGATATAAATGAATGTCAATTCCAGTATGATTCTAACATATTTGATTTAAATCTATATTGTTGTTTGCTACCTCATATTAAATTGATTCCTTAATATAATTCTGTCAAAAAATATTAAGACACTTCCCAGGAATTGATACTTTATTTTGCTTTTAGGTAAAATGATCCATTCTATGGTTGCTCACTTGGATGCTGTCACAAGTCTAGCAGTAGATCCCAATGGAATCTATTTGATGTCTGGAAGTAAGTTTTAACTTTATGTATTGTCTACCAATTTTGCTTTAATAATATTTAAAGGATATGAAACTCTAACTTTCTGTATCTTTCTTTTTAACACAGGCCATGACTGTTCCATTAGATTATGGAATTTAGACAGCAAGACTTGTGTACAAGAAATAACAGCCCATAGGAAAAAGTTGGATGAGTCCATTTATGACGTAGCTTTTCATCCATCAAAAGCATATATTGCCAGTGCAGGAGCTGATGCCCTTGCCAAAGTATTTGTGTGACACAACAAAACAAACCTGCACCATAATAGCAGGTCTGCTTGGACAAAAAAAGAGGGGGGAATGCATCACTGCCATCAATGAAACGGCTACCAATAGGACACTACATCTGATCTGCCTGGGCGAAGGCTGTATGTGGGGCAGGTTTAAGTTGGTGAAAAGTCACCACATCTTGAATAATGTCAGGCTTATTAATTTAACTGTAATTACTGTATTTTTTTTTTTTTTTTTTTGAAAAAAAGAAAACCAGTATTTGTAGCCTGGACTGAATATGAACTGAGCATATGTCTGTTCTTTAGGTGTCTTTAAGCAAACGCGGAGTCTGATCTTTCAAAAGACTTTTATTTTGGACTCTGTGTGCTGCCTTAGGGTTAGGAATGTGGTGCTCTTGTGGGGGGAAGTGAGCTCCAAGAGTAGCTTTCTTTTCATCTCTTAGTGATCTTCTGTTTATCAGTTGAATGCCACAGATCCCCTTTTAAACTTTTATTTTGCTTTAAAGAAAAGGAAATTTAACTTAAAATATTTTAGCATTAGTTGCACAAAATGTTTGGATAAAATTCTAGTTTTTATAAGTCTTTTTATATATTTAGCCTGTCACAACAGTGCTCAAGATTGTATTGATCATGTTTTTTCTGCATTATAGAACCCTAAAACACAGAGATCTCACTGACCCGCTGCCGTGTAACCACAATCTTCCCTTCTTTTGCCTAACACAGCTCAGCTAAGTCCTTTCATTAAGGATGCTAATTCATCATCATCGCATAACTGTCTTCATAAATATAAAGGACTGTAAAGAAGTATGTTTAAATGAAACACAGAGGGGTTGTAATACCCTCCCAGTGAACTCTTAAAAAAAATTAATCTTGGCATCCTATCACTATGTGATATTTTGTACATCTTACTGTATTTACAAGTTTATTTATCAAGGATTACCCATCTTGCTAATGGCCTATTGTTATTTATTTCACTTTTTGTTGGTCTTTATATCCTTTTATGTAGTGTGTTAAAGGGCCCTGTATATCTATTATGGCACTCTTTGAACAGTCTAAAATAGACTAAAAATGGGACATTTCATAGTTTTTAAAGTTACAAACCAAGATTTTTTTTCCGGTTAAGTATCTGGAGTGAAGTTGATTCCAGAAAAAACAATCTTGTTTCAGAACTTTTGGAGTGAAAAATGTTTATTTGCGTTTCAAATAGAATACAGAAGTAGTTGAATCAAGATTCATAAATCTGCTGTGTTTGGACTAGTTATTCCCTGCTTTTATTTTTTTCAAAAGTGCTTCAGTTTATGGTGTAACTAAAGATTTTGTTTGTGTAATGCATGATTAAGACAATAAAGTATTTTTTCTAGTCTTCCACAAAACTTTTCTGATCAGTTTGCGGGTTTTGATGAGTTTTGTAAGGTTTCTGTTTTACAGACTATGAATCAGCAAATTTTTAAGATTGTACCACGTAGCAAAAGTACAACAGTTGAAAAATAATGTATATAAAATGCATATAATAAATATTAAATGGTGTACCTGTATGTTACTGTTGGCTACATTATTTTGTGTTGCACAGTTTAAAGATGACATTTTATTCTGAAAGTTACTAAATTAAGAAATGTCTAAATTTTAGTGAAATTACGTTTTTGTGCTGTTTAAATAAACTGCATTGTTTTTGAAAACTGGTAGTATTTGTTGGGATATAAACAATTTTTTAGTTACCAGCAGCAACACGCCATATAAGAACATGTCTCTAAAGAGTGAAACTTGTACTGCATTTTTAATTGATAGTTTTTCTGTCTGAGAATAAGTTGAAAATGACTCTGACATTTTTAGGACATTTTTGGAATTGTAATCATCATGCTCTTCAGTTATTGCAAGAGATGAAGTGATATGAACGTGGGATTGGGGTCGAATAGATACCCAGGTTTTATTTCCAACTCTGTCAACTGACTCATGATGAATAAGCTAAATTTTTGTGCCCCAGTTTCACACTCTGTAAAATGAGGTCTACTCACCTTTATAAAGTTCTTTGGGATCCTCCAGTGAAGGAGGATGCACCGCAAGTGAAGAGTCTGCTTCTGTTAAATGCAGACTAAAGCTGACATTGAGCCAATTTGCATGATGACTCAGTTTGCTGAAAACGTGTTAGCTGAATAGAAATTAAAAATGAATATTGCATTGTGGTCTGTAACTTTCTTTGTAATAATTATCCCTTGCCCACATATAAATATTCTTTGAGGCCTTTGAAAATGTTCTTATAAGTGGTGATATCTGTAGTTGCATGTGATCCATCCAATTTAGCAATGAAAAGGTAGATCTCTCCATCTAAAGTCAAGCAAATTGGATGAAAAACAAAAGAAAACTGATGTGCCCATGGGAGGCACAAAACAGTAATCATTCTGAAATTAATTTTGTTTTTAGGAGCAATATGGTACAGTAAGTTATATTGCGTAGAAATTGGAGAACTTTGCCCATTGCCATCAAGGTGGGCCTTTCAGTGACTGCTTGTTAGGACAGTTTCTTTTTTTTTCTTTTTTTTTTAAATAGCTAATTTGCACTTTTTTTTGTTCGTTTCAATCTAAAGTGTTCAACTAATCAACAGACGAGAGTATGATTTGAATTTTATTGGAAGTAATTTCATGATCACCTTTTCTGAAGCTGAGCATTGTTTCTGGCAGCTTTTCCAGACTGCTGCATTTTAATGCTTAAATGAAATGTGATTGTTTATTAAACATTGTCATGCATAAACATTTACCTCATTTTCTTTAATTGTATTAAAATTGAAATGGTAAAAAAACTGTTTTTCTTAAGTTGAATCTCGTTGTTATGGTGTTTTTAGTGTCTTAATGTTATGTTGGACCAAATGATGTATCTTGGCTTCATTTACTGAATACTGACCTTACCTCTAGTATAAACTGTTATTTAATTGATTGCAGTCCTAACATTAAAAATGCCATCAGTTTATTTAAATTACAGAACAGTTTATGGCATTGTCGATGGAACAAGTTGACACTGTGTGCTGCAGTAGACACTAATTAAAAACAAAATCTAAAATAAATCCTCTCCAGTTTGAAATGGGTGTACCATAAGGACTGACTTGCTGGCATTTCTGCAATCAGATGTCTTTCTGCTCCTGTTTCAAAGAATGCATCTATTATCATTCTCTCAGCTTGCCTGTGTGTTGCAGGATCACTCCCCATCTTGTTACTCATTATAGGAACTGTTTTAAGCAGATGAATGGTCCAAATTGCCCAGTATCATGTCTGAGAGGCCAATATCAAATGTGCTTTAAAAAAAAAAAAAAAAAAAGTCAGGCACCTTCATTTGTGAAATCCTAGGGGAAAATTTCTTCCTCAATTCAGCTAGTGATAATCATATGCCCCGAGGTGTGGGGATTGACTGCCCTTGTCATTTTATCCTCATTGGTGAACATGTGGTGTTCTTACAAAATAGCTGTTTTTGGATCTTTTGAAGCTTACCTTTTTGAATATTTTTATTTATTTTCCTCAGTAATACTCTGTGGCACATGCAGTTCCATAGGCTAATGATATGCTGTGTAGAAAGTACTCCTTTATTCACTGTAGATCTGTTTACTTCAAAATTCATAATGCTGCCTTGGCCTACCCATTTGTTTTAGGTACTTCTCTAGCAACAGTTGGTTCCTAAACTGAGGTCCATGGAGAGCTGTCTGGTCACATAATGTTGGCTGGCTTCCTTATTTTCAGCTGCTGCATCACATAAAAGGCAGCTAAAAATAAATACTTCCCATGTAAACAATCTATATAGTTTAATAGGGATGTTAAGTGTTTCCAATTAGGAAGAGAGATTGTCCACTTGATAGTGAACTGGAGATGAAGTTCATTGGACAATCTTTCTCTAGTAATATGTGATACATCCTATGAAAATATGAACTACTTTGTCTTACTCTTCTTTTCACAATAAATATTCAGTTTTTTACTCTCATCGAAGATACCTATCTATCATAGCCGCATGTAGCAAATAGGATAGCAGAGACAGAGAGCCAAGGAAGAGCTGAGACAAGGTGATTACAATTAACATTGCCTTCAAGTTGAGGATGAATGGAGGTATATTTTCCATATTCTGTATTCTCTACTATTGATGCACAGAGTGCACTTCCTTGAGCTGAAACTAGCTTTCTATTCTTGAGAAGTTACAACTAAATCAGAACACACTGATGATAATGTATATGAATAGTTCAGATTATTTTTTAAACATAATCACGTTGGTATTTGCTTCACTGGCCACAGTGTGGCCCAAAGTAGGCATTTGGCCCAATCTAAATAATTGTCATCAGCAAATGTTCATATTGTTGATTTTTAAATCAGTAACAGCTCTTTACCCTTTCATCCTTGTTTACCAGGATTCTGTAAAGGCCCTAAGAGGGACTTCACCCAAACCCCTCCAGACTAACCTTCACAACCTCCTCAGGCAAGGAGTTCCACAAGTTGACTGTGCGCTGTGTGAAGAACTTAGTATTGATAAGACTCTCTCTGTTAAGGCCAGATCCAACAGTATACTCTAGCTACTTTGAACTACTCCAGAGCAACAAAAAGCAGCCAGAGCATGCTGGCCATTTAAAATTAGTTACTTTGCATCTCTGGAGCAGCACAAAGCAGCTGCAGCTGCAGCATACTGCTGAATATAGCCTGTAATATGCTATCATGCAACCAAATTCTTAAGGGCAGCCACAGTTGGGGAGAAAAGGGCAAGTGATCCACTGATGAGAATTCTGGTTTTGAGTGTGCACAGTCCACCCCATTGACTCATTTCAAGCAATAGAATTGCACTATGCTAGTTAACTGGGGAAGGATGAGTGATGATTGATTATTACGAGTATTACAATGACCTGACTTGAGAGACCTGAGCTGTTGATTTGGCCTTATCTGTTAGTCTCTAATCCATAATAATTGTTGTAATTATTAACTTGGCTTAATTATCACTTATTTTTTTCAAATGTAGTCAATGTACAAATTTAAATGAGCTTCAGCAATGTGGAAATCTTGAAGAGTATATTGGCTCTTTAAAGGATCTTTTAAATTTATTTTATTCAGCTTAAGTAATGGATTTACCTATGAATTTTCAGAACATTAATTCTGTACTTATACCAAGTATTGTAAGTGTGAAATGGATGCATGATATTCTTGGTATATAAAGAAGTCGAATCCCTGCTTTAAAAGCAAAGTTGCAGTTGTACAGATACAACTGATTTTTTAATATCG